GGGTAGTTGTTTTTTTGGGGGGGAGGGGGATACAGTGGAAGTGGAAATGATAGAAATAGCATGAATAGTAGGAATAAGGGATGATGATATAGGTATTGTGGAGGATATCGAAGGAGAAGGAAGAAGTGTGGGTGTGGGGTCTCTTGATGGCTTGGCATTTTTCTTCAATTTGGGTTTCATGATTTTGGGTTTTGCTTCAGCCTTGGTTGATGATTTAGCTTTAGAGGGTATTTGACTGGCTTTAGGCATGGTGATCAGATGAGAGACTCGAAGAAGAGAAAGAGAGAGTTAGTTCTTGATAATTGCTTTTGATTTTTACTTAGGGTTTGAGAGAAACAGTGAGGTCTGAGAAGCTGATCATAAGAGCCTTTTAAAGGAGTTACTCCTGATTTTACTGGAAAAGAGAAGATGATCGAATTTGAGTTCTAACGGGACTCTTATAACGGTTACTTTGTCTGTTAGGATTTCAGGAGTACTTGATCTCTAATTGAACTAGGATTTCCCCTTACTCGTTGACTAGAAGACGATTGGAAATGATTCTAACGGAATTAGAAGTCTAAGTATAGTAATAATTTAGGATATAAAGTCCTAGTGACTTAAGAGAATATGGCACGTACCTGAGTCAAAGAACCAACTTCGTAGCAACTCCTTATATGTTTCTGCAATAAAGCTTCAGCATTTTATATTAATATCATGCAACACAGTTATCAGCCAGATTTTCCAAGCAAATGTGTGAGCTTAATACAAGAACAATGCTAAATCAAATACATTGTACTTAATTATCTACATATTATTATGCCTTTTCTAGCAATCACTGGATTCAACTTAGTGGGAAGAGTTGATTAGACCTAGTTCTAGTCTATTCCTTTCAAAGTGATCCCTACTCAGAGCATTAGTAAAAGTATCAGCAATTTGATCTTCAGTTTTACAAAAGTTAATTGAGATATTTCCCTTTTCAATATTGTCTCTGAGAAAGTGATGTCTAATCTCAATGTGCTTGATTCTCTTGTGCTGACATGGATTTTTAGCAATGTTTATGGCACTAGTGTTATCACAAAAAATGAGAACACAATCAACAAATATACCATAGTCTCTTAGCTATTGCCTTATAAACAGCAACTGAGCACAGCAGGATACTGCTGCCACATATTCTGCCTCAATTGTAGATGAGGTCACTGAGTTTTGCCTCTTGGTTCCCCTAGAAACCAGACAAGAACCTAGAAAATGAGTTGTTGTTGTAGTGTTTTTCCTGTCAACATGAAATCCTGCATAGTTAGCATCAACATAACCAACTAGATCAAAGCTATACCCTCTGTGATACCAGAGACAGAGGTCATGGGTCCTCTTGAGATATCTTAGTATCCTTTTGACAGCCTTCGGGTGAGATTCCTTGGTATTTGCTTGAAATCTTGCACATAATCCCAAACTAAACACTGTATCAGGCTTGCTTGTTGTAAGGTGCAACAATGACCCAATTAGTCCTCTATATAGTTTATGTTCCACATTTTTTCCTTCTTCATCAAGGTCCAGCTTTGTTAAAGTTGCAATGGGTGTGTCAATGGACTTAGAGGAATCCATGTTGAACTTCTTCAATAGTTCTTTGATATATTTTTGCTGATATATCATGGTTCCAGTAGGTGTTTGCTTGATTTGCAGCCTAGAAAGAAGTTCAATTCACACATCAATGCTCATTTCAAACTTATTTTCCATCATCTCAGCAAATTCCTTGTATATTGCTTTATTGGTAGCCCTAAAGATAATGTCATCCATATATACTTGCACAATTAGAATATTCTTCCCTCTGCTCCTTAGAAATAGAGTGTTGTCCACCTTTCCTCTAACAAAGTTGTTGGCTAAGAGAAATTTTGAGAGCCTTTCATACCAAGCTCTTGGAGCCTGTTTTAGTCCATAAAGAGCTTTATCCAGTTTGAACACATCGTCAGGAAATTCTTCACTTTCAAATCTAGGAGGTTGTTTGACAAGCACTTGTTCCTTCAGGTAACCATTCAAAAAGGTACTCTTTACATCAATCTGGTATAAAGTGAACTCTATGTGGGCAACAAAGGCTATCAACATTCTTATAGCCTCCACTCTAGCTATAGGTGAAAATGTCTCATTATAGTCAATGCCCTCCTCTTGATTGTATCCCTGAACCAGTAGTCTGACCTTATTCCTTGTGATATTTCCTTTTTTATAAACACCCATCTGGTACCTATGACAATTCTGTTCTTGGGATTTGTACCAGGTGTCAGGCCTTGATTCTCTCAAACTGATTTAGCTACTCTTGCTTGGCTATGATCCAATATGGATCCTTTAGAGCTTCTTTGATGGTTTTAGGTTCAACATGCGAGAGGAATGCCATGAGTGCACATAGATTTCTCAGAGAAGACCTAGTTTGTACCCCTGCATTTAGATCAGAGATGATATTCTCAAGAGGATGTGAGCTTTGATGCTTCCATGGTCTGATATGTATACCCAGAGAAGATTCACCCGAGGCGTGACCCAAAGGAGCAGGTTCAGTAGGTGTGGCTTCATTAGTCTGGTCAGCAATTAGAATAGTTCTTTCTTCTTCTTATTCCTCATGATCACTGTCAATGTCCTTCTGGTTTTCAGATCCATCTTTATCGGATTCCTTTGTATCTCTATTACCAGTGAATCTTATGTCATAATCTTCATCCTGCAGACCTTTCTCAGCCAAATTGTTAGATTCATAAAAAATAACATGAATATTTTCTTTCACACACATAGTTCTTTTATTAAAAACCCTATGGGCCTTACCATGTGGAGAGTAACCTAAGAAAATTTCGTCATCACTTCTGTCATCAAACTTACCTAGAGCTTCTTTCCCATTATTATGCACAAACATTTGTACCCAAAGCCTCTCAGGTGAATGATGTTGGGTTTTCTTCGTCGAAGTAACTCATATGGAGCTTTCTCAAGAATGGGTTTGACCATGCATATATTTAGCAGGTAGAAAACAATATTGATTGCCTCAGCCCAGAAATTCTTAGGCAGTTCACTACCAATCAACATGGTCCTCCCCATGTCTTCAAAAGATCTATTCTTTCTTTATACAGTTCCATTTTGCTGTGGAATTCTAGGTGCAGAGAAATTATGGTCAATGCCATGTGAGTCACAAAACTCAAGGAATTTTGAATTTTCAAATTCAGTTCCATTGTCAGTTCTTATACTTAAAACATTACATCCTACCTTTTGTTGAACCATTCTGACAAATATACATGAAACATCAAAGGTTTCATCTTTGGATCCCAAAAACAAAGTCCAGGTATACCTGGAGAAGTCATCAATAATTATAAACACATACTTCTTACCTCCTCTGCTCCTTATTCTCATTAGTCCACATAGGTCCCTGTGAAGGAGTTCTATAGGTTTAGAAGTGCTTACAAACTTTTTATATTTAAAGGATGACCTAACTTGTTTCCCTCTAACACAGGCATCACATACCTTGTCAGAGGTGAACTCAACTTTAGGTAGCCCAAAGACCAAGTTCGTTGCTGCTAACTTGTTGAGTTGAGAGAGACTGGCATGTCCTAGTCTTTCATGCCATAGCAGTATATCATTTTACACTACACTCAAGCATGTGTGCTCACTCTGGAGAAGTAACATAATCGATATCTTGTAGACATTGTTATGTCTCTTACACTTTAACACAATTTTATCAGTATCAAGATGAGTGACCGTGCAAATTTTGAAATTGAATTTTACCTCATTTCCTTTGTCCCACATTTGAGAGATGCTAAGAAGATTGTGTTTAGACTTACCACATAATACACATCTTCTATATCATGAGAGAGTGACTTGCCAAACTTGCCAATACCTGTTATCAGGACCTTTTTTCCACTGTCAATGAGAGGAAGCTTTTCTTTTCTCCATTCATATGTATTGAGCATACACTGTCTAAATATCAGTCTTGATTGTTTCCTTTCACCTAAGCCTGTACCAAAATTCACAAGTTAGTTTTGGGAACCTAGACAAACTTGGGTTCCTTTTTGTTGGAAAAAGGATGAATCAGAAAGCTATTTTCTTGTTAACCTTAAACCATTTAGTATGGACAGGAGGATTAACCTTTGGCTCTCCCTTCACATTTTTAGCAATACGAAAAGTGTTTCTAAACTGAGTATGAATTAAGGCAGGACAAGTGTCTCTAAAGTATCCTACTCTTCCACAATGAGTGCACATGATATTATCGAAAATTCTTACATACTTTGGGTCAAACTTAGGGACAAGTTTTCTGTAGCCAATTCCAGATTTGTTAGAGCTACAGTTTTCATTCAGCCGATTTAAGACATCAGACGATCTATGCCGTTTGCTTAGTCTAGAGAGTTCATAATTAGCCTTTTTTAGGTTTTCATGTAGGACTTTATTACTACATTAAGCATCACAAAGATTATCATTAGCAATTTTTAATTCCTTTTCAAGCTTATCCTGCAGATCACTCATTTTTCATTTGCAATGTATATCCGGAGACTTCTCGTTGTCAGAAGTAAGCTCGAGAACCTGGTTCTTAAGGTCTTTGACCTGTTTCTCTAAACTAGCTTTGTCAGATTCAAGCTCTTTGATATCAAGTTTGATACAAGAAAGGTTGCTTATTAGCTGATCATTTCCAATACTCATTTTATCCATTTCATTCATTAAGGTCACAAAAAATTTGGCTGACAATATATATAAGTTAAACTCTTAACTAATCCAAATTGAAACTGTTGGTAATTTTTAAAGTTGTCTTCATGTGACCTACAGATTACGAGTTTGAGTCATGCAATCAGTCTTTAATGCTTGCACCCCTTTAGGATGCGGTAACTGACATAAAACAGAGATACTTTATGCATCGGGCAACCTTTTTTTTTAACCAAAAAAAACGGTCAGTATCATGATTCCTGAACATAGTAATTTGTAGTCCCCTGATCAACTAAGTTTCTTAATTAATACCTCATGTTCCACCTCTCAATAGCCTTATAATTTCTACCAGTCCACACCTTCTATTCAAAGCCAAACTACCAGCTCAAGGTCTTTTTTATCTCTTTTTCATCACTAACATTACATACTACTGTCTCATTTTTCTTTTGTATGTCAATTAAAGTTCATCACTCTTTCCTTAACTGCAAATTAAACCTCTATTTCAATGTGGTTACCCAATATTTTCTCTGCAAATCACCCTAAAATACCTTATTATAATTCTCCTTTGATTCACCAAAATCTTGTTCATAAACTCAATGGACAAACCCAACATAATGGACCCAAAATTAATGTTGTGTTTCGTTTCTTGCAAAGGCTCACTTCTGGAAGTAAGCTTCCGTTACTTTCTTATTTACTATTTTTGTTTTGGCTCGGTTATAGAATTTATTTTAGTCATGATAATACTTTAGGTTGTATGCTTTCTAGTAAAAATTTAAAAAGGTATAGAAATTTAGTAATTTTTATTTTTATTTTAAAAAAAATGTTGGTTTGGGATGAATTCAAATGGAAAAACATTATCATTCAGAAATCATACAATCGACGCTAACTTGTCAGAGCTTGAACCCGAGACCTATGATTAAGGACATTCATCCCATCAGCTCTATTTATGATTTTTAGCTCCTTTATCTATATTTGGGTACTTAGTGGGCGTTTGGACATAAGAAATGTAAAACTTCGGAAAAAGGTGATTTTTTTTTAAAGTGAAAATGGTATTTAAAAACTAGAGTTGTGTTTGGACATGAATACAATTTGGAGCTGTTTTTGAATTTTTGTGAGTGATTTGAAGTCAAACATTTGAGAAATAGGTTTTTGGAGTTTTTCAAATTTCTTTAAGTGAAGTTTAATATTTTCATGGCCAAACATTGATTCCGAAAAAAAGAACTTTCCGAAAAAAGTGATTTTTTTTATGGTCAAACAGGCCCTTAGTGTTAAAGTGTACGAATATCTCATCAAAAAATTGAGCTTAAAGAGGATTAATATGTTTATGTATTTAAGGTTATAATTGGGATTAATGTGTTAAGTGTTATAAACGAAACTGATACAGGGTCATTATTCTTTTATTCTGTTCTCTGTTAATTTCCATATAAAGAGAAAATTGATGGAGGGTCAAGAACTGTAGAAGAAGAGAAGTTGTATTCTTGGCTGTATGCTTTGGCTCAATCTGAGAAAGACTTGGTGTATGAGTATGTTCGATCCACCGAAAGAGGTACGATCAAATCTCTCTATAACATCATCATTTGTTTCAAAAAATATTGGCTGCTAAGTGATGTTATCGAAAACATATACTATTATAACATAACATGTAAAATTGGTTCCAAAGAAAACTTGGCCATTATAGTGAAGTGTTGATATAGAGAATAACTTTTATAGAGAGGTCTAACTGTAATTATATTTTGATAAACATTCCCATTTTTCTAAAATTTAATTTTCATATTGAAGCAATAGTGGGCATTTGTTATAGGCGGCCCGGTGCACGAACCATCCCGCGTTCATAGCCGCACCCCAAGGGGATATAATATAGTCGGCCTACCCTGATGCAAGTATTAGTGGCTAATTACACGGCTCGAGCCCGTGAAATGGTATATAGTTCTTTACTAGTAGTAAAGTCTTTACTAGTGTCTTGCAATAGAAAAAAAATATATAATTCCTTTTCTACTTTTTGTTAAAGTGTTTGCTCTTTTTATGGTTTCTTTCTTGGCGAGACAGTTAATTTATGAAAGGATTTAAGTTACATGCATTGACAGGATAAAGATTTTTTCATACTATTAATAAATTTTAACATGTGATAGTAGGTTAGTTATCATTTTTATCATATTATCAAGTAATGTTTATGAAAAAATTTACCTGTAATTACCTAATACTTGACCTGATTATATAAAAAAATTTAAATCGTTAGTGCATAGAACATGTTTGTGCCGAGGGTCTATCGGAAACAACCTCTAGGTAAGGTCTGTGTATACACTACTCTCCCCAGACACCATTTGTGGGATTTTACTGGGTTGTTGTTGTAGTGCATAGAACCTGTTTGGCGTAACTGGTAAATTTGTTGTCATGTGACCATGAGGTCGCGGGTTCAAGCCGTGGAAACAGTCTCTTGCAGAAATGCAGGGTAATACTGCGTACAACAGACCTTGTGGTCCGGCCCTTTCCCGGACCCCATGCATAGCGGGAGCTTAGTGCACCGGGCTGCGATTTAGTGTATAGAACTGCCTATGGAAGGAAAATTACATGTCTTAATGGATGTATACAATGCCTTTAAAAGGAAAGAAATTCTTATTTCATGAGGTTGTTCTTGTGCAGGCTTGAGCTTTGCTGAAGCTGACAGAAGACTTAAAGAATCTGGCCCAAATATTCCTCTTGAGAATACTTTCCCAAAGTGGTGGAATCTTCTGTGGATTGCTTCATTCCATCCTTTTAACATCATTCTTCTTTTCCTCTCAGTAATCTCTTATATTACAAGTGACAGTCCAAATGGCTGTATCATGCTCATATTAGTCTTCATAAGCGTCTCTTTCCGCTTTTACCAGGTCTCGTTCAATTTGTACGTTTCAATACACGAGCACGTGCACGTATACACCTCGAGTAAGACCTAATCTTGAGTTTTTTTTCTCTCTCAGGAATACAGCAGCTCAAAAGCAGCAATGAAGCTTGCAGAGTTTGTTAGGTGTCCTATAAAGGTTCAACGATGTGCTGGTAGAATTTTTCAGACTGAAGTACAGGTTAAAGTTGATCAAAAAGAAGTTGTACCAGGCGATATCGTAATCGTTGAACCAGGGGATCTTTTCCCCGGTGATGTGAGGCTTCTTGAATCAAAGCACCTAGTTGTCAGGTAAAACATGCAGCAATTATGTACTATGATTCGTTCTCGTTGTGAATTGTTAAATGAGTTCGTCGCATATTCTTGAACAGTCAATCTTCACTAACAGGCGAATCTGACACGACTGAGAAAACAGCTTACGTGAGAGAAGATAACAGCACTCCATTGCTTGATCTAAAAAACATATGCTTTATGGTACGTCCAGGCATTTAGAACGCAGTTCTGTTTCTTGTTCTGAGTCAGTCTTATCAATCTAAGTGACTGAAAAAGGGTAAAATTTTCTAGTAAATTAGTAAATGAAATCAACCAATTAGTAAATTAACAGATTGGTTGAGCAAGTACTTTGAGTTTTAGTAATCCGTGCTAACAGGGGTAAGGCTGCGTACATCCTACCCTCCCCAGACCTCACTTGTGGGATTTTACTGGGCTATTGTTGTTGTTGTTGTGGTGCTAACGTAACAATAATAGTTACGATTTGCTTGCATCATTTTGTATTACAGCAAAATTTGGTGATCAGTTTTTGCCTTTAATTCTATTTTTTATATTTCATTGAGAGTATTGTGCTTCATTTTAGGGAACAAGTGTGGTGTCTGGTAGTGGAACCGGTCTGGTTATCTCTACCGGCTTAAAGACGTACCTCAGCACAATCTTTTCAAAAATAGGGAAGAAAAGGCCACCAGATGATTTCGAGAAAGGCATCCGCCACATATCGTATGTGCTTATCAGTGTCATGCTCGTTGTGGTTACAGTTATCGTCCTATCCGTTTACTTTACATCACATGATCTGAGTAAGAGCATACTATTTGGAATATCAGTTGCAAGTGCACTTACCCCTCAAATGCTTCCCCTTATTGTGAATACTGGTCTTGCGAAAGGAGCTCTTGCCATGGCCAAAGATAGATGTATAGTTAAGAGCTTAACTGCTATACGAGACATGGGATCCATGTAAGTTGTAGTCTACACTGTGAACTGTTTTTCCATAGACCATACACGTATCTTTTTCTTAAACTAGTCAACACTCTGAACTACGTCGAGTTAGCAACTAATTTTACATGCATCATTTCCTTGTTTGACGAAGTTCGTAGTGTCATTTCCTTGATTCTTTTTCTATTTCCAGGGATATAATATGCATAGATAAGACTGGTACACTGACGGTGAATTTTTCGACCATGGTTAATTACTTTGATAGTTGGGGTTCACCAAATGAAACCGTCCTACACTTTGGTTTCTTGAATGCTTACTTTCAAAACCAAAATAAGTATCCTCTGGATGACGCGATTATGGCATATGCATATACAAATGGATACAAGTTTAAGCCCTCGAAGTGGAATAAGATAGATGAGATTCCCTTTGATTTTACAAGAAGAAGAGTATCTGTTATATTGGAAACCAAGATGAGCGCCAAAGACGAACAAATGAGTATTGGTGACAGAGTTCTGATAACAAAAGGAGCACTAGAAGATATTTTGAGCATATGTTCTTTCATTGAGCGCGTTGATGAGGGGAGGATTTTCGCTTTCACCAAAGAAGATTACAGAAGAATTACTGAGCTCTCAGAAAAATTAAGTAATGAAGGATATCGGGTTCTTGGGTTAGCAATGAAACAACCCCTACCGGTATGTCTGAATTCCTAATCACAATTTTCATCTTGGTTATTTGCAAGTTGTTACCTCCCTTGAACAAGTTTACACCAAAGAAATAGACGATTATTTTATCCTCTTTTGCGCTCTGAGTGCCACTTTCTGCTTTCATTTTCTTTGTTTTCTACACTAAACAAATGGCAGTCTAGTGCACAAGGCATCCCGCGCTCACGCACCCAGGTGGTGTTATGTAGACTAATGGCTGGTTCCACGGCCCGAATAGACCTTGAGGCATGCCAAGGTTCTTTATGCAAAAATATAATCGCACCTTATCTGTTGATTCGTTATTATTATTGCTGTGTTGCAGCAAGTTGGAGTTAGCAGCATGATCTGCGATAAGGACATTGAATCCAATATGGTTTTTGTTGGGCTTATATCCTTCTTTGATCCACCAAAAGATTCTGCAAAAGAAGCGCTGTGGCGCCTTGCAGAGAAGGGAGTAAAAGCTAAAGTATTGACAGGTGATACTCTATCTCTTGCGATAAGAATATGCAAAGAGGTCGGTATTAAAACAACTCACGTCATCACTGGACCTGACCTTGAGTCACTAGACACAGATTCTTTCCATGAGACAGTGAAGAGATCAACAGTTTTCGCCCGACTCACACCTTCTCAGAAACTGAGGGTGGTGCAATCTTTACAAACAATGGGCGATCATGTTGTTGGTTTCTTAGGAGATGGAGTAAACGATTCGCTTGCATTGGATGCAGCAAATGTGGGCATATCTGTTGACTCCGGTGCTTCAATGGCCAAAGACTTTGCTAACATTATCTTACTCGAAAAAGACCTTAATGTTCTTGTAGCTGGAGTTGAGCAAGGTCGGCTCACATTTGGAAACACGATGAAGTATATTAAAATGTCAGTGATCGCCAATCTAGGAAGCATAATTTCACTGCTGATCGCGACATTAATTTTCGGATTTGAGCCCTTGACGCCAATGCAGCTTCTTACTCAAAACATCTTGTATAATCTTGGCCAAATTGCAATACCTTGGGACAAAATGGAAGACGTTTATGTTCAAACTCCACAGAGATGGTCACTAAAAGGCTTAGCGACATTTACACTATGGAACGGACCTCTTTGTTCTGCATCCGATATAGCTACACTCTTATTCCTTTTGCTATATTACAAGGTTTCAAGATTTGATTTTGAGTTTTTTCGTTCTGCTTGGTTCGTTGAAGGACTTCTGATGCAAACACTAATCATACACCTGATCCGAACAGAGAAAATCCCGTTTATCCAGGAGGTTGCATCATGGCCTGTTGTTTGTTCTACTGTTGTTATATCAACAATTGGAATTGTAATCCCATACACAACAATGGGAAATGTTCTAGGATTGACAGCCTTACCATTGTCATACTTTGGTTTTTTGGTTGTCCTCTTCTTAGGTTATTTTTCATTTGGACAAATTATCAAGAGAGGCTACATTTTGGTGTTCAAGACATGGCTTTAGGTGTCAAGAAGTATAAGAGTAACACATCTGGAAAAAAAAAATCATGTATTTTTCTCTCTCATGTAATTCAAGTTTACAGCTATATATATAGTTTTTGTTAAAGAATCTTTATTGTGTGTTCCATCTGCCAATGGTTCTGCCTCTTCATCTATTCATTAGCAGCCAATGGAGCTTTTTCCGCCTGAAAAATACAATCAACAAATATACAAATTAGCAGCAAAGTGCAAAACTTCATAAACAAGATCAATATTGTAGACCCTAGTTGCTTCATTTAATGGGCTACAGTAGTTAATGGATTGTTGCCGTCAAAGTAAGGGTATTATCACTTTTAGCCCGCGTTAGAAATTATTTACATTCGGTAGCCGAAAAAATGTATCAGATTTGAATAATTTTTTTATATAACATACAGAATGTATATATACAGAAAAAATATAAAAAAAGTTAATATTTTTTCGGCTATTATTTTGAGAATAGCTATACAGTATCATTTTTCCGTCAAAGTAGAAATGATTCTGGGCCATTTGTGGAAAATCATGATTTTGGCCCGCAGCAAATCAAATAAAATTGCAATGCAGTGGTTGGTTACCTTTTCTATATTTAGCATAAAATTTGGTTGTCATTTTTGTAAATAATTCCTGCATAAGTTATGCCCGAATAGAGACGGAGCCAAATTTTGAACTTGATGAGTATTCATTGTAGGATAGCGATATAAGATGTTAGTAATTGAGTTCTAAATTAATTAATTTTTATATATATTTAGTGAATTTCTTACTACAAATATAAAGTTTAGACTAAAATTACGGCTGAAACTCTACATAATCTTCTAGCTCCACCCCTGCACTTCATCACCATTATATTTTCTCCTCTAGCAGAGGACTCATCATCAACCAAAGTTATTCCTGCACAAGTTATTAATTTTGGCGCCTACTCATATCTGCTGAAGGCTGATTTTCAATTAACTTTCTTACCAAAGTAGGGACATGCAAAAATTGACATCAAATCCTTGATAAAATGTGAACAGTCCTAACTAAATCGTCTTAAAAATATTCCAACAGTGATATGAAATCAAAAAAATTGAAAGGATATGAGAGTCAGTGTTACAGTCAGTATGTTTGGGAGAGTTGTTATTGTAGCAGACAGTGCTCATTTCCTTTCAACAAGGTGAAATTCCTGAATTTCATTCTGTTTCCCCACTCTAGACTATTATTTCAGAAACTTAGATATCATTTTTTTTCATAACCGAAAAATTCCCGAGGATAATGGGCTTGACCTTTATCCTTCTCCACTTATATACCAGACTTGTGGTCGATCCCAAAATTCGAGCCATGACCTATGTTTAACCTCCACAACACGCGTTGTGCTCTGGAGGCTCAGAAACTTAGATGTCATTCAGAAACTTAGATATTTAAAAGTACCTGAAACCTACAAACAACAACAATTACCTAGTATATTCTCACATGTGGGGTCTGGGGAGGCTAGTGTTTACGCAGACCTTACCCCTAGGCCCTATCTTGTGCAGGTAGATAGGCTGCTTCCAATAGACCAGTCACAACAGTAAAGCAAATTGACATATAAAAATAGTAGAGAGTCATAGGAAAAACTTCCTGCTTTCATCAACAAAAAATGGTAATGCAAGGATCAAATTTATAGTATCTTGTTTGTTAAATGCATCACAACATAGACAAAAGAAACTTACACAATTTATAATTCTCTTTTTTGTTGGGGTGCTGGTGGTGGTGGGGGTTTGGGGGGG